ATTACATCAGATTATACAATTTGTTTTATATAAATATGTGTTTGCACAGAACGTTATTCAAACTAAATTATAATAATAATAAATAGAGAATATTTAAAATACAAATAGTGAGTGCAGTGCGAAATGGTAAATAACACATTAAAAAAAAAAAAAATTGTATTGCTAATATTTTATATCATGCACATTGGCTGCTTATGTGTATCGTAACTTATTGCCGGCGATTCGAGTATTCATATTACCAATTAAATATATTTGATGATGCGAACGTAGCAGCGGATACGTACCTAATGATGCCGAAGCAATTATAGAAAATAAATATTGACTAGGTAACCAAACAATTACTTAACTTTTTCGTAAACAAGGGTAAGTAATTTTTAAAATAAATAAACGAAAGCCGGTATAAATATATTTCGATTCGGTGAAAATTATTTCTAGTCGTTTAGTAGTAATAGCCAATATGATCGACTGACAAATAATAATAAGTCGAAAACCGTCGTCAATGATATATTATTACAGTAACATTATCTGATATTGACAAATATTCCGAACGAATTTAATAGTTTTACTGTTTAACGTTACAGACATATTAGTCAGTCAGGTTCCGTGTAGAAAGCCCAACGGAAATTAAAACCGTACAGAGTAGCGAATTTGATCAGTAACGTGATACAATGAATAACGAGCACTACGTTTGTATAGTGAAGTCATTGAATAATATACGAATTCGTCTACGTTCTATGAAAACGAAACGGTCAAACATTTTTTTTTTTTTTTTTAAAAAACGAATACAATATTTTTACTTCCATACGTAAAACATGTTATCGTAACATCACTCGTTTGGTAGATATACGATATTGAAATGACAACAAAACACTGAATTTTTCAAAAAATGAACGGATTAATATTTTATTGTTTTTCTCGGAAAATAATGGACTAAGGAGGCATATTATAAATATGTTTTTTTTTTTATAGACAATGTTTAGATTTATAATTAAGATTCTGTACATTTTTACACTAATTGCCACGTGCAATAAATTAAATGTAAAAACCTTTAAAACTTCCCCGTTTGGCAATTTTCAACCCTCCTGCGGAACGTGAGTAATAATTACCAAACTTAACCTAAATTAGTTTCTTATGGCAAAGAAAAATATAGAAGGGTGAGAAATAAAAAGTAATTAACTTTATTTTTTCCTGTAACTAAGCGTCATTCTAATATGTATAAATAAACACTAAAGTTTTTCCAATAACGACATTTTAACGAAATCTTTATTCAAACTATACACTGTGAAAAAAAAAACAAACTGTTCTTTTCCCCAGTATAATTATTATTCTATAATTATTGTATTCCTAATGGCCTAGTGGCGAATCCAAGGGATTTGAACGGAGCGATCGTCTCTCCCGTTCACTCTTCAATGCACTTTGAGCTTGATTCGTTATTGAGTTCATCATAAATATATGCCACATATTAATTTCCAAAATCACCGCCTCCTCCCCTCGTTATCTTGTTCTGCATCCGTCCGGGTGACCTATAGGTATCTGCCAATAATATATTGTATATTATACTCTCGTGTACGTGTACATTTTTTTAGTTTGTGTACATCCGTTGTAAATTAAACAGTAAAATTAAATAATTGTTAAACACGCAGAAAACGAAACAAACTATTTACAAATCGTTAAATCCGCAAGCAAACATTTTGTTGTTTCTGGTTTAGTAAGTATATAAAGTTATTGTTGTTTGGAAAGTGAGAAAAAAACCGTTAAAAAAATGCACAGTATCGTATACAATAATTCCATAAAAATGAAATAGTTTCAATAAATATTAGTTATTACTTTTTCTTTTTTTTTTCAACAATAATTTATCCGTATACCTCCCTAATAGCTGACCACACACCTAGGTTTATTCTAATCTGTAAAGGCAATTAAAAATATTACGGATTTTATTGATTTACATATCGACAAAAATATGATTGTATAGGTGCGGTAAAACCTCCTTATAAAAATGGAGTTTTCGTTTCAGGCAGATTTCCGAATTATAGACGGTCCGTGATAAGGAGGTTTTCCTATAGGTATACATTATAGACAGGAGGAATTTAAAATAGCGAAAACACGCGCCTTCGGGACGAGTATAGGTTACAGTGTACTCCTCCTACTCCGGCGTTTCTGTCGCGGGAAATGGTCATAGTAAAAAAAAAAAAAAAAAAACCGATCGTCGTCTAATTTCGCCGGTCTAATCGAATTTTAAACAATGTTTCTGAACCGTATTAACCGCCGCCAACCGCAGCGGCCGCGGCGGCAGTGTACACTCGTAAAACGTATTTATACCTATACACACGTATCTACGCGAGTATACGTCTCGTCCTGATGGAATATCGATTTTGGTCCGGAACCGAAAGCACGGAATTCTACGGGTCGGACCGCCGGTCTTGCGGTATACCCTCGCCGACATCAGTTTCTCGTTCCCCTATGCATACAATAATATACGTATATGTGTATATAAAATATAAGACGTGTTTACGTTTAATGGGAGGTCGTGGAGCGGCCACTCGCCCCGTCCACCGCACACGCAATCCGGTCGTATACAATACGCTATAAAACGCCGTACACTATACGCTATGCAAAGTATACGCCGATGTTTGAATGGATAAGAAAAAAAATGAACGCACATTACGAGTGATTATTATATGTGCTCCGTGTCGGACATTAAAAAACGTTAGAAATTCGACAGACGTCCGACCACGCATAATAATACCGCCGGGCGGGGTTCGCGGGAAGCGTCAACATTTAAAGACGGTCCTCCGTATTATATAATTGAAATTGAGACTTTGAGATTTCGTTATCCGTGCCAACACCCGCGGTCGAAATTTCGGAACTCTGCTGCGCGACTCGTTGAAAACAATGACATAAAATAAAATCCGAACAATTGCGTAATAAAAGGGGAAAAAAAAAAAAAAAAAAAAAAACAGGAATCAAATTAACTTAAAATGTTCCGAGAAAATCGCTGGCATCTAGACTTTTGTCCATCCGGTGAAATAGTGTCATTTTTCACCATCGGATAATCAGTGTAGCAACTCGAAACAACGCTGTACGCGTGGAGGAGAGGTTACATTTTCTTCCCCGTCGGCTTGGATTCTACAACAAATACGAGTGTTTATTCAGTTATTTTTTAATGACGAATATCGACATAAGCCGATATTGAGGATATCGTGTCTGTAGATAAATTTTGATAGGGGAAATCAACGGTAAAAACCCGGAGGCCGTTCTAGGCAAACACGGTTGGACACGTCGAAAGCGGATCCGGTAGAGATATAGCAAAAGGAACGGAGCTAGAAGCGAGTGAGAATACAAGGAGAGGTGGTAGGCAATAGCGGGAGCGGCGAAGGCCCTAAACAGGCTGTAAAAGCTAAAAAAAAATACTGTCCTAGGACAGGGGTGCAGCCACCGCGATCGGTGAAAAGTTGGGTGGCTAGTAGAGGGGAAATTCAAAGTGTATCCGTTAAACTATTATCAACGAAAAAACTATTCTGAGCGGAGTTCAGTTGACAGTGTTGCTTTGTCAACAATATATGTATACGCCGTATAATGGTAAAATATGTGCGTTTGCATTAAACATTATCTTCAGTGATATTTGTTTGACATTGTAACCGTTTTTCCCTTCTCTCGGTTTTCCCGTTTGTTCGGGAAACTGTCCGGGGAAAATCGAAAAACTGCCCCCCCTCAAAAAGGGAAGTAACTGCCCGGTCAGATTTCCTTTCGGAAAAAAAGTGCTGCGAATCGTGAACCGGAGCGAAATCGCCGGTAGAAAAGTTGTCCACTCTGGAAAAAAAGAAAATTAAATGAACAAACGCCGTTACGAAACCGACACGCATTCCTCGCTCCGCCCGGAATCTAAAATTACATAGCGCGCGCTGGCTAAAGAAATGAAAAAAAAAAAAAAAATAAAAAAAAATACGCATTTCAAATGAAACACGCGCGGGGGATTATCGTACCTACGAGTGTATTATACTTCGGGAGGTTTCTCTATAGGTACGTATATGTATATATAAATACATAAATATATATATATATATATATATATAAATGTATATATATTTACGAAGCGCCAGCGCGCCTTTTGACGTCTCGAACGGGTCTTGCCGAAACGGTCTGTTGGGAAATTATTATTCCGATCGGGACTCCCGGCCCCGGTACCTCCCCGCGTCCCCGCGCGCGCCGTCCCTGACCCCGGTCGACACGCACCGTACGGCTAGGTAAGTATTATAATAATAACGGCGGCACGAAAGCGGCGCTCGCTTTGACCCCGGGCCGGCGGTCGTCTTTTCCGCCGGCGCGGTCGGGGGCACACGCCGTTTCCGTTTGACCGCCCCCCCCCCACCGTCATCCCCGTCATCCCCGTCATCCCCGACCCCCGCCGCCGCCTCTCGGACGATTCGCGAAGGTCGACGGCCGCCGCGCGTACGATTCCGTGCGGCCGTCGCGGTCGCCGTCGCTCGCGAGTATAACGTAAGTATACATAAATTATCGCACGCCGCCGCGTACCGTGAGGTGTGCGCGCGGGGTGCGCGACGTTATCGATAAACGGGCGCGTGTAAAATATCAGTAAACCGCGGGCGCGAGGCGAGCGCACGGCGGCGGCGAACGCGCGCGTACAATACGGCGCGGCCGCCGCGGTATAAAATTATCGCGTGACGTCAATGCCGCGTGTTTGGCGGGCCCGGGCGACCCGCCGCCGTCGCCACGGCAACCGCGGGCCGACAACAAAAACCGCGAACGTTCTCCGTCCGCGCGTCCCGGGCCGCGCGTCAAATATAATAACCCGACGTGCGCGCGGTAACGCCTGATTAGGTCGCGGGCCTCGTTCAGTGGAGCGTTCTGGGTGTCGGCGTGACGGGAAAACCGGTCGCCGGACCGTTCGCGGACGCGATAACGCGATAACGCCCGCGCCCGTACGCGCCTAATAACAATACGTCATAGCGCGCGACCGCCGCGGAGGACATGGCCGACCGGCGTATGGCTTACGAGGCGTACAGGAAACGGACGGAAATACCCCGGGGTCTGGACTGTTTGGCCGATCGGTTCGTCCGGGCCGTCATCCGGGAACAGCCGGAAAACGTCCGCGACTTTGCCGCCGAATTTTTCGACGGGCTGCTCCGGCAACGGGACCAGCAGCAGACGAGTGAGTGAACGGTCACGACGAACGACAAGTAACGCTTAGAAAACACGTGTAACCCGTAACGACAAAACGACGTCATATCGGCGCTCTTCCAGAGCGCGGATATCCGAGTTTTTCGTAACCCTCCCCTACCACCCCCCACCCCCGTTCCCCCCTTCCACCATTCACTCCTTTTCCCCTTAAATCCCTATAAGCTAGGAACGCAACCGTTGGGGGCCGGGGATACTCGCGTGCTTTAAACTCAACGCTCCTGCCAAATCGAAAACGGAGCCTGGTTTGTCCACTTACTGTTCGGGTTTTTGCGTTTTGTTTCGCCCTACGGTTATTGGACGAGACCTTCGTTGCAGTAACGAAGCCCCCCCCACCCATATGCACATTATGGCTCGCGAATCTTAGTCCGCGGTTTTCGGACACGATTTAAAATAGTACCCTGCACCTAAATCGTACAGCGGTTGTACAGATACTGTATGGATAACAACCGCAAAACCCTGACCGTATTCTCTATAATAATATTATAGAGAACAGTTTACTATATCCTGCGGTACACTGACGTTGTAATCATTTACCTAAAATTCAAATTTACCGAAGAAAATCTAAAATTGGCTGTCAAAGTCGATTGTTTTGTGAAAACGAGACTATGAAAGGGTTCCAACGAGTCTCGACCGTTATAAGGTAAATTATATCGCAATATAATTAATTGAATTCTGTACACGATTAATAATCGAAATACATAGACGGATTTTAATTTCAGGATGCAATTCATGTTTGCCCCGCGGACCTGTCGGCGGCGGAAACGTTTGTTACAAGAACTAATTAAGTGTATACGGAGATTATAAAACCACAAAGATATTATACGTATTATAATATTCTGTGAGACGAACATTTTTCCTGCGAATGTCTGTGTAAGTCGTTTTAACAATTGCTGCGAGTTTCGCTACACGTGCAAGAATTAGTTCTGTGTCAATGCCCCTTCTAAAAAAAAAAAACTGTCAGAAGCAAACATTTCATTGATCAATATTGAAAGTCAGATTTTCCACGTGAAACAATGAATATTTAACGACGTCGTCATAATTTGAAATTCAAATGTAAAATGATTAAAACACGAAAAATAATTAACACAAACAAGGCGACCAGTTTACTCGTTTGTGTTAATTTCTATTTCTAAATCGTCAACTGTATTTGACGTGTACATTTATGTTTATACTGTACAGTCAGTAATAATTAATTAGTAGAAATGTTGTACCGATCGGGTCGTATTGAGCACGAAGTCTAGGAGCCCGGGCTCCCGGCTTTGAAGTATTGCATTAAAAATGCTCCGAATATCAGCACTTTCCTCAAAACGTATTCGTAATAATATTTCAACATTTATAGACAATTTGGAAATCCAAATATTATTTTTTAATGCGTTTTATATCTATTTGGCTCGGACGCTCTGTATCAATTTATGTATAATATTTGCGTCTTTAACTATATAATAAAGGTCCGAAATATTATATTAGTTCAAAAAAAAAAAAAAAAAACCGAAAAAACAGAAAGTATTTTAGCTATAAAATGATGTATTTTCATCTTTATTATTACATTTAAATAAGGACATTATTGTCTACAATGAAAAATTACCTTCAGAGTACAGACACTTAGCATATTAAACATTTTTCGAAGAGATTATTCTCTACGACCATTTTATTTGTATTAGTTTAAAATTTAGGCCTGATGATACAGAATCAGCTATGATGATGAGAGGGTGAGGGATTATTATCTTCCCAAACTTGAACATTTAGACTACTAAGTGGGCAGTTCAATGATAATTTTATTATAAATTCATCAAAATTTATAATTTCTTATTTGTGTTTTTTTTTTTTTATTTATTTATTACTTTGTATTGTCTTCGAATTCGTTTATTGGAATCGGTAAATCTGGTATTAGAAGCCAGCGAATTTCGACCATACCCATCTATAGATGTTCGTTTACGTCAGCTCTAGGAGTAGGGAAGTGATATCTAAACATAGATTTGAAATACTATCGTAAAATGAGATGTGGATTAAGAAACTGAAAAAAAAAACCAAAATCTACACAGTTACCTAATCGCTAGTTCACGACAAAAGTATTACCCTGTGTGTAGTACAAGTTAACACCGGTTTATCGAAAATCTCGAGGCGACCGCTGTATTATTATTGTCGTTATAATTTTACAGACGCCTCAGTTGCAAACGTGATTGGAAAACCATTACAATAATTATTTGTATTAATGTAGCGGGAAACCGTGCTGAATACATAAATCCGTATTGAAGCTATAGGTATAGGTGTCTTAAAAAAAAAAAAATGGTCGTTTTCCTATCAAATCAGCCAATTTATTAAACACTTTGTACGTTGTATAACGACGTGTTAAAAATTCAAAAAACGATCTATAGCGTGAAGGTGAAGATCGCTGACGATAACTCGAATCTCGTATAATATGGCCGACGTGGGTGGCCCCCCTCTACATATATTACATTTATAGAGAAACAGCGATCTTTTATGGCCCGTAAAATAATGGCCCGGCAATCAATTTGTATTAAATTATACGTATATTACCGCATTATTATTATCCGGTCTTTTGAACGCGTCAGCACCGCGCGTATATAAGAAAAGACGAACGTGCTTCGCCCACATAGGTACAGCCACTGTTGTAGTTGAGAAGTTGGGAAGATAGAATATAAAAGGAAATTTAATGTATATCTGTAAGCAACAATAAACCTTTACTAATAAAAAACGATTCTGAGCGCAATTCGGTTGATAGTGATGCTTTGTCAACATATATATATATATATCATATTATAAAAAAATAATTAAATAATATATTCTCTTTAATAATATTTGTTTAATATTGTATCGATTTTCTGGTTTTCCTATGTTTTTTCCGGTTTTCCCGTGTTATTTTCCCGGATTTTTACATTTGCTGGAAAACTCTTGACAAATCAAAAAATGACCACTCTAAAGTACCTTCGTAGTCAGATTTCTTTTTAGAAAAAGTGTTATCACTGTAAATTGGAGAAAAATTGCTTGTAGAAAAGTTGTTCACAGGAAAAAAGAAGGCCGTTATATTTTTAATTAATATACCTACATTTCTTACGTTTTCTCGTTTTTCCTACGTTTTTTTTTTCGGTTTTTCACATTTGTTGAAAAACCTTCTGTGTATACTAAAAATCTAAAAAATACTCCCTCAGTCTGATTTACTTTCGGAAAAGGTGCTAAACTTAATAACGGGAGCAAGATTTCTGGTCAAAAAGTAAATAGATAAAAACAAAAAATAAACGTCTTTGTATAACCACTCGCTCCACTCAGAATCTAAAACGAAACCATAATTATTGCAATATTCGAATAAAAATCCAGAGTCTGTAATGACTGGTTTGAAATATAATCTACTCGTATACGTTTTTAAACACTAAGTTATTTTATAAATAATAATACTCGTAGTGGTTGTATTTTTAAGCCAGTAACGAGGTAAATGTAATACTAAAATTGCACCCGGCTTACCACGTACGACGACAGAATAGGTCTCATATTATTTACCGGATCGAAACTTATTTAGCTGAATAATAACTAATTATAAATAAACAATAATAATATACAGACAATTAATAAATAAATATTTAACTAAATTAAACTGAACTGTTTAACTAAATGTCTTTTTCAAGTCGGGCAAATGATAAAAAAATAAAATATGTTTCATATAATTTTGAAAACTAAACTATATTTTCTTATTAATTATTTATGGCTATTCTATAAGTTTGTTACAGCTTCGTGTATGGATACAAATTTATGCCTTTGGGTACTCTGTTAACTTCTAAACTATTATTCGAAACTAGTTGAATTTCTTCTCTGGAACATCGATTTTTTTTTTTATTATACCAACTGCCATGCGAATTCGGTAAACTATTGGTAGCAAATATTATTCATGTTGGAATATTTTTTCAATGTATCATAATTTAAAATATACAAAAAAAAAAAAAAAAATAAAAAAAATATTCAATAGTTCGGCCATAATATTACAATCACATACACCGTTCATTCGTATTAAACTAAGTTATAGTAAAATTTAAACATGTTTTGTATCTTTTTCAGTAACGTCATAATTTCCTCGTTATTGACAAGATTATAATTTGTCCCGTGTTCAACACGGATAAGATAGTAAGTTATAATACTTTTCAAAGGTAAAAAAAAATGTGGAAATTTTATTTTTAAATTGTTTGATTAAATAATATTAACGCGCAATTATAGTTTAGGTTTTTGAAATAATATAAAAACGTTTTATTTTCATTACTCGCCTGACTTAAAATCGGCATTTAGTTAAACGTCTAGAAATTTAGCAAAATGCCTGATTTGACTTTATGCCAACGACTAATTCATAATTATTGTACATATAATTAATATACAATACAACGTTTACGATATTATACCTATATAAGAGTAATTTAGTTTGAACATTGAATGCAACGATAATAACCATCGCCATAACGAAAACCGATTCTGAGAGTTTAGATAGGTTTAAATAATCAAATGAGTTATTACTATTTTTTTCCTGCTTAACTAAACTAGGTAAACTAGCTATCCCTAGCTAAACTAGGGATCAAAATGCCGGAAAAAACAATAATTTCATAGTCCCCCTCAAAAAAAAAAAAAAATTGCGAATTTAAAACCAATTTATTTCTAAATTCAAACAATACCTTCAACGTGAAAAAACAAGTGATTTACAAGACAATATGTTATTTATCTAAATTAATTTATGATTTGATATTTACTAGTGTTTCTGCGAATTTTTTTAACTATTCAGAAAACCTATTTTCGGTAAATTTTGATCTTAATATTGGTTTTAACATTTAAACCCGCAGAAATCATCACGGAAAAGTCCACAACATATTAATACGGAGTGGATGTCATAATATGGGGAAAATCGCCTGTCTTCTTTTTTGAAATAAAATCGGGACATAACACTTTACAATAAACACGATGTGATAATGATGACACATTTAATAATTCGTTACGTTCAGATTTGATTATTATCGGTTTCGAAAGAATAACGACGGTGGGTTAGCTATAAGAGATTTATAAACCGGCGCACTTTCTCTTAAGAATACTCTGAAGTCGACGAAGCCCTTAAGATGACGGATTGCCCTCGGGATAGTGGTGACGTGGCCGAGAGCGGAAAAATTACTTTGGCCGGTTCGAACGGTATTATAGATTTGTTGGGTAGTAAATAATAGGATTTCGGACGTTTCTCCAATCGCGTACGTATATATGTAATGATCGATGCGAAGTGCACTTATTATATTTTGGGTTAAAAAAAAAAAAAAAATTATAAAACGAGGTATTTTTTTTTTTTTGAAAACGTAACTTTTTTTGCACCGACGTCACTCCGCGCGCCTAATTCAAACGCGTCTCGATGCCGCGGCCGGCGTTCGCGGGACTTGCCCATTGCGGCCACGCGAGTGCGACGCGGACGCCGGCCGCACGGCCCGCGGACGCCGGCCGCGGTTTTTTCGGCGGTTCGGCATTCCGCCAAGGGATTGATTCGGTTTGCGCCGGCTAACCGGACGACGCGGGCGCGTAATCCGTTCGGGCCCTTAATACGACGCGTACCTACACGGCGCCGTGTCCGCACGGCCGCCGTCGCCGTGATCATATTACCGCAAACCGAATTGAAAACGGGAGGAAATAACGCGAACCGCCCGGAATAATTGGCGTCCGGGTCCGTTTCGCCGGCGGAATAATAAAATACCGTGGCGCGCGTTATTACGAAAAATCAATTAATAACGTCGTCCCGTGCGACGCGGACGCGCGATTACGTTTTTGTTATTTTTTTTTTTTTTTCCCCCTCCGGGTTCGTCCGGCCTCTGTATTCTACGATGTTACGTGTCGCACAAGCCCCCCGGGTCGCCGATTAGTATTATTTTCGACGGGCCCGCACGCGTTACAGGGATCCGGGCAATTTTTCGGCGGGGGGGGGGGGGGGGGGGGGGGGCGGGGGGGCCGTCGAAATGCGGTGCTCGCGCGTATTTTCGACATTATAACCGTTATGACAGCGGGACATTGGTGTACGATTCGGTTTGCCCGGAATTCGTGCTCTCGTTTCGGCCGGCAGAAGAAATTGCAATTTTTCTCATCGACGGTCAACATTGTCAACATTTTTACGTTTTTACGCGTCTTCTATCGTGTAGCACATTATCAGCTACGGCGTGCGGCAGTCGGTCGGTTCCGTGAAAAAACAACGGCGCTCGTCTGTCGACGAAAAAACCAAAATTTTAATTAGTTTTCAATCGGATTTTCACCGATTATCATTGCCAATTTTTTCGTTGTTGCACTCGACTTTGTTTTGACCGCCGTACGTATGCGACTCGTGTTAAAATTTCGTGGATTTTCGCTGGGCTAAAATTTAAAAAAAAATCATTAAAACGGTGTCTGTTATTTTTTTGATTTTGTTTTGTTTTTTGCCTATTTTGTAATTCCGTTAAAAAACCGATTAAATTACCTTGTAAATTTCACCAAACGAAAGAAAGGAACTGCGTAAAAAAAAATATCATAAGCAGCGAGACGAATTCTCAGATCTCAATGATTTTAAAACGAGACATGATATACCAATAGCCTATAGGTCACAGTACTTATTGTAGTCTTGTGGGACATTTTTTTTTTCAAATATTGAAGCGCTTAAATTGGAAATCTAAAAATTCTATAATCCACTACATTTAAAAAAGTCCATGTAAGTTGATTATAGAATTTTTTTATGGAATTAACGGTGGATAGAATAAAAAATTGTTTAGACTAACAGTCGTTATTAATAGTGTTAGGTACATAATTAGGCGATTACAAATTTTCGCCTCAAATAATCGGAAACGCAAATAACGCAAATCGTTAATAACGCGAACAACGGAAATTGACTATCGTTCTGCAATTTTCGATCGCGATTATCAGTGTCATCGCACGGTTGATCACGAACGGCCGCAAACGTAGGACACAAAAAAGAAAAAGAAAATATAGGTTAGAAGTTGGGAAGGAAATAGAGAGGAAATTTAATGTAAATCTATAAGCGCCGGTAAATCATTTCTAATGAAAAAACGATTTATAGCGGAGTTCGGTTGATAATGTTAATTCGTCAACAATATATATATATATATTTACGAACGCGAATGTTCAAATCCAAAAATTTGTACATGTAAAACATCGTTAAAAATAGTACGATTTCGTAAATACCTAAGGTATTGAAATGTGCCGTAACCTTAAATGGCATGACCACATTAATGAGATAATAACAAAACTATGGAAAATGGCCTATGCTTTCAAAAATCTAGATAATTTACTTAAAATTAAGAAAACTAAAATTGTATACCAAGCTCTAGTAGAATTTATAGTAACTATAGTAAGACTGTTTGGGGAGGTGCCTACGATAACAAAACCAAATCCATTAAAAATAATACGAAATAGAATAATACGAATTATTTTAAAAAGAATCATTTCTATCATACAGAATATCAGACAAATAATTAAATGTTCTATAAGGCATCGTGTATTAAGTTGCCATATATTAATTGTTGTTACCTACATTGCATATGTTCAAATTAGTTTCATCTAATAAGTTTAAAAATGTAAAAAAAAGTTAAATATACATTTTTTTTTTTTTTTTTAATGTATTTTTCTCCTTAGTGTTAATTGTGAACTCATAGGCCAATACACGAACCTGTTCAGGTTCAAAAAAAAAAAAAAAAACGCTAGAGACGTCCCCCGTCCCGTCGCGAATTTTTGATAAATATAATTTTTTATGACAATATGATTTTTTCTTTTGCGCTGCAGATGTAACGGGATGCAATAAAAAATAATGGATTGTTATAACTGAGGGATTTTCTCTACAAAACGTATATATTGGGTATAGGGTGAAATTTAGTATATTTTTACTGAAATCTTTGAAAAAAAAAAAAAAAAAAAAAAAAAAAAAAAACCGGTATTCGCACGATTAGTCCTCACGTCGCGCAACTTTTTGTCAGACTGTTATCAGTAATAATTTGCGTCCAAACAATTCGATTGTACAATAATTTAAAAACACACATAATAGACGTTCGAACACTAATGTTATATTGAAATACGAGTGTTCACACGCAGGTACTAATATCCGAGACTGTTATTGAATACGAGATGCTCGAATGAGGATTTTTTTTTTTTTTCGGGAATAAAATAAGCACGCGTAAGTATACTTAAAACGCAGAACACAATACGATTTTAAAGTATGCTTCGCGTCGCATTTGTACCATACACAATTTGTGTTCACGCGGATCCGATGCGGATCGTATGCTATTACGATAAGACGATTTGATCGGAGATAATACGACGTCACACTAATCGTACTGAAATTTTAGATTTACATCGCATTCCTTTTTTTTTTTTTTTTTTTTTCTCTACGACATGTTTTCGCCGCCTAAATAATTTCGTTCTCAGACCGCCGCCGCCGCCGCCGCCGAAGTGCGCGTCGCGTTCCCGTCCTCCCGTCCACGCGGGTCTCGAGGGCAACCTCCGCCGCACCGCCACACCCGCCGGCCATCCCGAACCCGCTACGTCGTAGCGTGTGCGTCACGCCGTAACAGGTGCCGGGGCGCGGAATCCGTCGACCTCGCAGCGCCGCCGCCCCGCCCCGTCCGGCCGCCCGCGCCGCGAACACGGCGACGGTGGCGCGCGGCGGGCACGTGCGGCCGACGGTATCGTTTTCCGTACGCGCGCGCGGCGCCCGTCTCGGGTGCACAATAATGAACGCTGCGCGAAGCCCGTCCGGCCGAACCCCGGGGAAAATAGGTCAAATCGGAATGCGATCCGCCCGCCGGCGGCCAGTGTTTTGTTGATTAAATTTTCGCCGAATCGTTTAACGTGCCTGTGTAATATAACGCGTGTAACGCATATATATATATATATACATGCATACAAACATATATATACATACATACATACATATATACATACATATATACATACATACATACATACACACAGCGACAACAACAACGGCGGCGGCGGCGGCGGCTGTGGCTCGTAAACGGCAAATATCATTGCCCGCGGTCGACGCTGCCGTTCTACGCGGGCGCACCGCCGACCCGAACCTAAGGAAACCGTACGCGTGTTGCGTGCGCCGCGCCGCGCCGGCCGCATACCTGCGTACGTCCGTGTCCCTTCGAAGCGAATAATCTATCAAGTCGCGGGCGCGGGGTACTGGCGGGGGGCGGATGGGGTGGAGGGGGGCGGACGCGTTTAATTTCGGCAATCGCGCTCTGCAAATCTCCAGGCGAATTAATAACGCACGCGCGTACGGACATCGCGAGTTCGACGGTGGAAACGTTTCCCCCGCCCCTACCTTCCCACCACCCTCCCCCCACCCTGACGGACAACAACAATAACGGTTATTGTCGTTGTCATCGTTGTTATCACGACGTTGCGTGATACTATCGCGTTATCGCAATCGCGCGACGCGGGTAATTGGACATTCTGTGACCGTGTTACACGGGCGGGTGTTGAAATCGCCCGAAATCGAAAGACGCCGCAGGAACGGTCGCGGGACGAACGACCCGTAGGAAGGGCGGCCCCGAACGAGAAAACGCGGCAGACGAAGAAACGTCCAACGACGGCCCGTGAAAATGCGCGAATTGTAAACGATAGAACGACAGAGACCCGCGGAATGAATGTCAGCGGTGGCGGCGGTCCTGCGCGGCCAGCTGAGCTTGTTAAAAAGAAGAAGAAAATAAAAACCGTTTTTCACGATTGTGAGGCCCGGGAGTTATATAGGAGTTGCATATTTTTCCGCGTGCGCTGGATTCTTGGCGGACCAAGCCGGCAATTCGTTCGCTACAACGGAGAGTTTGGAAATCGGACATTCAAAACGCACGTTTCGTTAGTTTTAGAGAAAACGTGCATGCGTTTCATCGGTTTCGTTCCTTTCTCGACCAATGTATTTTAATTACTATTGAATATCATTTATCCGTTGATTGTCCGTTGTTATTTCTTATTTGATCTTCATATTTTTCGTGCACATAAATAATGACAGTATACCCGACATTAAATGTTTTTGAATAATAAACTTTGGGTAATCTTTTGCACGTTTATTACATTTTTATATGTATATTTAAAAATGTTTTCGTGCACATTTTGTCTTTTTTAGCTCCAATAACTTCCGAGCCTATTACTTATTAATTATTATCATAGTATTGTGATTATGATTTCCGATTTGGAAAAAATAAAATAAAAGACGGACATACTTTGCACGACGAGCGGGCTACGACCGTTGTTGTAGGTGAGGAGTTGGGAAGGTCTATTGAGGACATATATGGAAGTTTAATTTGTATCGTATAAACCGTTGCTAACGGAAAGCGAGTGTCTTTTATACGCGTACGTAAATGTTCCCGTTTTTCTCCCGGGTTATTTACTTTCAACGATTTCTGGTAGGAATATTGTTCATAGATAAAAAAAAAAAAATAAACATCATTGTACCGATACAATCATCGCTATGCTCTGAATCTAAAAAAAAATATTCCAACACAATTCCAACATTGAACGTAAGTCAGAGATCGGAGACAGTCGGAAAATTACACTTTTTTTTTTTACCTGCCCAAATGAAATGATCAAACTGCTCTCGTGTGAAAAACGAACGGTTGATTTCGACGGTCCAACTGTACGCATTTCCATTTCCACTTAAAGGCTTACGACAGGCCATGATTTTAATGCGATTAAAATGAGTTGTTTTATTTTTATATAATATAATTAAAATGTGTTTTTTAACTTTTCAAAGGATTACTATTATTATTATTTGAAATTATTTGTTGTATTAATTTCGAGATAGTGAATTAAAAATCATTTTATAGACTTGTCAGATTATTAATATTAGCTATATGTATATATGTATATTAATTTCGTTACTTTTTTCCAGCAAAATCAAAATCCTATTTTTTTAATTCGTAAAAAACTAATTTTTATTTTTTAGCCACGCCAATGCCTAAATTGTAAGTGATAAGATGTAAATGGACGTTTAGAAAAATTGCACCACTTATAGAAAGTGTGTTGATGATATTCCGTGAACATTTCGGGTATCTCGATACAATTTGATAACACAAACAACACCTGCATTTGATGATCGGAGCAAAAGTTAGGTACCTATATCAGTATAGGTATATTTCAGACCCCGCAGGTATATAGTGAGTGTGGCATGTCTGACTTTTTAAATGTTACTTTTATTGCTTTTGTATATTAAACTTGTATACAAGTATAACATTTATTATGTTCAGTTGCGTGCCCAGGAATGTTCTTTGCCCGATTCATGAATAAACCATAGGATATTCTTCTGTTGTACCTAATCCGACAACGAAAACTTAATAGTCGGATCCAGAAAAGTCAGTTTTTATTCAATAAATCGAGCTTTTTTTTCTTTATAATTCGACTAAAATACATAATTTCAAGATAAAATAAATAAATGAACACCCACAGTTGTTGTATTTTGAAGCCAATGGGACGGAATAAAACTCCAAACCTCATCGCTATGCACGCCACTGATTATACCGTACACAATATAGTGAATTAAATTATGAAGTCGAATTTTCTTTGTAGATTCTGTGAGTATTTTTATTTTGGATAGTTCATTTAGAACTTCATTCGCAGCGATACCCGAGTTCAGTTATCAGTTGAGTAATGGTTGCGGTACGTGGCACGTGCAGAGTTCAGTGGTTAAGTATTCCGGCCGAACGATTTTAATGATACTCATATTCTTGTGTACGATTTATAAAACAATAATAAATTATTCTACGCCACCCCTCCAGGTATTTTTTTTTCTCCATTTCTGATTTCGTATATCGGTGAGTACTGTGAGTACTGAGTAGGTACAGCGAGGCATACCCAGCCGTGGATCCAGGGAGAGCGATCGCCTGCCGAACATTTTTGAAAATTATTATTAATGAAAAATACTTATAAAAATACGTTTTACATAAAATAAAAAAAATTTTAATTGTCCCACAATGTCAAAACAAATAATTAGTAATTTTTAAATTTTGGACTTGTTTTAAATTTTTATCTGATTCTTATTATTTTGATTATCTGATTGCGTACTTCCGGAAATCTTTCAATCGCTAATAATAAACTATTAATAGTCATAGAGTATATGTTGGGAAACGGCAGAACCAGTAGCGTATATAGAAATTAATTCGGAGAGGGGGATTATAAAAAAACCTTTTGAGTTTTAGTTTTAGTTACATAGACTAAATGAATGAGTCGAGCCCCGAAAACCCTTCCCTACATATGCCACTGAGCTGAACACACATTATCTTCTCTGTATTTCATAAAGTTAATGGTTTTATATTCACGTATCTGTCATACTAATATATTAAACGTACGATTCGTTCACTAGTATAGTCGTATGCACTTGTATACCATAATTATTTGATGAATTTATAGATATTTACACAAATAATCAACCTCCAATACAGGTTAAATAGAAAAAAAGGTAATTTAATTTTTGAAAATTCCCCCCCCCCGCCCTCCCCTCTTCCTCGGGTGACTTCTGGATCCGCTCCTGGGCGTACCTATACCGATGTAATAATTATTTGATTATTTAATGCAATTTCAAATCGTGGCAGAACATTCGATTATTGCGCGGTTGGAATATAAATTAAATTACACACAAAAGTTCAAAGTACTTTATGTAATATGTTGAAATATTTTAGACGTGAACGTAGGTCTGAATTAAATTAAACAGAACAAGCGAATAACACAGTAGTTATTTAATTAATCGTAAACGGGTACGGATTCTTGTGTAGGGTTACTGATGCTGTTAGTTCAGGAATCCCGCACCGTCAATCCAATCACAGCTATCCGACGCACTTTCCAAATGGGCTCGATAATCGGGTTGGGAGCTAAATAATAATTAAATAATAATTGTTTATGAACCCGAATATTTTAAAACGACCATAAATCGTAACGTAACGGATTTTGTCAATGTGGTTTAAATTAAAATTAAAATTAAAAAACCACTATTTTGAGTGGCGAATATTATAAATATTAGTAAAAAACAAAAAAAAACATTTCCATTTTCGACGAAAATATCGCTGGCCGAAAATGATATTATTATAATTTTGTTATTCACTCGGAACAGTTGTTCACATACACTGACCAGTGCTTCTGAAACTGTGAGCCGCAGACCGCCAGGGGATCATAAGCATATTACTGAGGGAGGGGGTGCAATATTTATATAATGTATTTATTTTCAACTACGTTTTTGAAAAAAAAAATAAAAATATTTTCAAATTATCAATATTTATAATTAATATAATTTTATTTATAAAGTTTAAAGTTTTTTCAAAGGTATATAATAATAATAGCAATAGTATTGGAACTATGTATGTATTTACCGTTTAATTAATCTGTGTCCTTAGTATGTTCAAGACAATTTAATTTTAGTATACATAGTTTAAAAAAAAATGCTGCACCTTAGGGTTCAGGGAGCCGTAACAATTTTATATTAAATTCGGTGGGCTGCGTTAAAAAAAAAAAAGGTTGAGAAGCGCTGCATTAACGTACTATACATAATTTAATATTATTCTTATAGTTAATAATATTTCAAGAGGCCTTTAAATCGCATTAACAACAACATTATAATCTGCTACAGATATAACGCACCTAATAATAATAATAATTAATAAATATATACGCAAAAGGTCGGGTGTAATATTGTCGAGTATATACGATGTCCTCCTCTTTATTATATTACACACTCTCCGGATCCGCTGATCGTTTCGGTCCCTTTATAATCTTATACACATTGGGTGTACCTACATAAAACCTAACCTAACCTATATTATGTATATTTAGGTATATTATTAACTGAAATTGCGTACTCTCGCCTAGCAGTAAAATGTCTAATATCGACCGACCGCTACAGGAGTCTGCTGGTCCTGACCCATCGGTCGATACAATGGGGGGGTGGGGGGTGGGAGAGAGGGACAAGGCGATCGTCTTCCTCCCTTGGGCTGTGTGTTTTTTTTTACACAATTCTTATATTCTACAATGATGTTTATATAATAATCCGGCTCCTTTGAACAACCACTGGATCCGTCTGCAGAACATAAATTAACAATTTTTTACGGTTCAACAATTATTGTAAATTATAATAAAAAAAAAATGTTTTAATATTATAATATCAACATAGTAGGTATACGCGACGGAATATAATGCTTGAACCTTGAAAGGTATAAGGATCGAAAAAAACTCGTTCCTTTGATTTCGTTCATTTTTTTAGGTAACGGGTCAGTGAAGAAACGTATTAAAAAATTCGTTCATTTTTTGGACAGATACGAACGATTTTTTTCGTTCCTTTTTTGATTATTTTTTTCGTAGGTGGGTATACCTATCCAATTTAAATAATTTGTAAATGTAACAATTATTAATAATTTGCAAAATTGTTTTTTCTTGAATTATGTTAATCAAAAAAAGTGTTTATAGTTTTTTTTTGAAATATGAGTATTATATACGATACCATTAACAATGAATAAAACAATGCACTATAATATGCAAATTATTAACCCTTTCAATTAAAAAATGAAATATTTTTGATTTAATTTGTTTTTTTTTTTTCATTCGTGTGCATCAATAATAAACGAGTATACCTAGGTACTATACGAGGGCTAATCAAAAAGTATCAAGACTGGTAGTATCATTCGGAAAAGGAGCATCGAAGAGCAGTAGGATTGGTATCACTTGCTTCTATGACTTTTTCTGAGTACATTTGTTTTTATTGCTTCTCTATAAAATTCTTCGGTTTGATTTCACTGATATTTTTGTAAAATATATTTTTCGAGTTTGGCGATTTTGTAATAAACCCAAAAGAAGAGTAACTTGACAGATTTGGAGATTTTAGAAAATTTGTCTGCATTTTTTTCCAGTTTCAGAGGGATGCAACATTTCATGGTTTTTGCCATTAAATGTCAATTGAAAAACTGAAAATGTGCCCTCGAGTGGTAGCAAGTTCCGCTTCTTTTGGATTCAACACGAAATCGCCAAACGTGAAAAACAAATTTTAGAAAAATATCGCCAAATCAAAACGAAGAAGTTTGTAGAGATTTTATACGAATAGATGTGCTCAGTATAAGTCATAGAAGCTAGGTTTACAAATCGTTGTGCTCTTCGACGCTCGGTTTCCGAGTAATATTATCAATCTCGATACTTTTTGATTAGCCCTCGTATAGTATACATAGATGTATACCATACAGTGTTATTCTTATGCTAATAATTCTGTCAATATTTTTTTTTTTTTTCAATCGGATTTTTTAAAAAAGAGATACATATGTAGAGAACAATTTTAATTGTATTTTCATCCCTTAATTAATGACGAAAAAAAAAAATTTATAAATTTTTCTTTTGCAACTTTTCAAAAATTATAAAATAGTCATTCTCTAAAAGATATTATTCTAAACATTTTTAATGGGGCATATATTTATGTTCGATTAATACTTTCTTAGTAGTGGCCGTTTTAATTTCTAGAAAATCGACATGAAAACAGTTAATTATTTTTTTACAAAATAACACGTTACGCGATAACAATAAAGAATCACAACCAGCACGATAATTAAGTGGAAAAATAAAAAGTTGTTTTTATTTTTCATTGGTTATGGGATGAAAATACAAATTTAATTTTTTTCTATATCTGTCCTTCGTAAAAAACCTGAATGAAAAAAAAAATGTTTATTGACAGAGTTATTAGCCATAAGGATAACTATGTATAGGGCATGTCGTTTTATAAATTGTTCAAAATAAAAAAATACTTAACTACTATTGATAATACGTCATATAAAGTAAACACTTTTCCACATTTATAATCATCCATAGACAATGGTACAACCGGGGAGATGGGAGGGGGTTGTAGATTGTGACCTCTCTCTGCCAAAAAAAAAAATATGAGTTTTTTTAACGAATTCCACGGGACAGTATTATGTGTGTATCATACAACAGTATTTCTCAAAAAGTAGCAGTTATCAGATTTTCGTCACGTATTTTAGACTTTTAGCCATAGTGTGTAACGAAGAAGTAATAATATTTTTACTAGATTTTTCTCTTTTTTGAAAAACACTTATTCGTTAGTATAAAACACTCAGAGTATTTCAATGTGAATTTTCCATTCTGCGGTACTTTGTTTGAAACAATTTTCTAGACTCCCAACAGATTGTCGAGTGGACAATCTGCTGAGTGCAGGATGCAATGCTTTATCGTTGCTTTCAGTATATAAATTAAATTACCTTGTTTTCTGTATACCTTCGTAACGTCCGACCTAAAACAATGATCTATCCATGGAACGAAATATGTTATGCATGTTTTTTACATTATTATATTTTACTAATAAAAAGTATATTCAAATATTTTATATCGCAATAATGATTAACCATATTAGTCTCATCTAAAGAAATATATCAATTTTAGATTTTGTGTATAACGAAGAAACTTTTTTTCGATTATTCCGAAAACGTTTTTATGGTTAGTAAGAATGAATTAATTTTTCAAGTCATACCTAAGATGATTCGGATTTTTCTCTTGATAAGGTACTTTAATTGAAAATCGTTTCGAAATTTACAATACTGGTTTAATTTTTTTTTTAACTATCTTTTTCAGTTTATCGGTCGGAAAAATGTCAGCATTTTTCCATGCAGTAAAATCTACCAAAAATTGCATTATTATTTAAAAAAAAAAAATGTCGACATTTCTAACAGTTCAGCAATTTGTATCGTTTTATTTTTGTTAATTACTAAGTTATCTCGACATTTAGGTATAACAACTTTTATATTTTCGCTGCATTACTACTACGCCGAGAATCATTTTTCGTTTACATTAATTATCGTTGTGCATAGTATTTAAACTTTCCAACTACCCACCTATAACACTTTTTTTTTTTTTTATTATCATTGCCGCGTTTGCGGCTTTTAAAGATAAAATAAGTGATAACTGCTGAACGTCAGCCGAGCGCTTCCGATCGTTTGAGGCATACAGTAACTCGTGTAACTACCTGATATTACTATGTAACCGTATCATTAATAATGACCGTTTGTCTAAAATGTTTGTATTCTACTAATTGCGTCGAAAGTTTAAGGGGTATGTGGAAGGCAAAGCTTCCCGCCGCTCAGGTCGAAATCAATTGACGGACGCTACTTTTTTTTTTTTTTTTTAAATGTTCCGTATTCGCCCTTGTTTTGTTTTCCCATCCGAGCGCCGACACTCACACACGCCTTCTACAAAAGTAACTTTCCGAGCGCCGACACGGTAGGTCGGTAAGTACGTGCAGCGGTGGTGTGCAGCCGAAGTCTATAAGAACACAGTTACATAAGTAACAACGACGCGTTACGTTATTCGTCCGGTTCGTGTATGGAATGGTAAAAATAACAAAAATAACCTTTTGCATTTAGACGACCGCCGGAATATCGAGCGCGACCAATACCGACGGGTATAATAATAATAAAAGGTAATTTGGTCTGTCATTTGAGGGATTCCGGCTATATACTTTGGCAGCCACATAATTTTAAATGTTCTTCCGCCTCGCGTAAAATGTTGTAATCGGGCCGTTGTTGATAAAAATGTAAAATATAATCGATTACCACTTTCAACGACCACCTCGATTGGAGTTCGACTGTCTTTGATGTGAGAATAAGACCTAAGGAAATTTTCACAAAGGTTAATAATATTGTCAATTGTTAATAATTGTTATCACGGCTAAATAAACAGGCATTTCAGCAAGACAACAATTCGCGTCGAAACTGTCATCTCGGTTTAGTATATAAATGTTATTATAATGTCGAAAAATTGAGTATTTTAATATTTAAATTTATAGAAGGAATATGTGTGTAAGCTAGCGAACAATTTTCAGAAAAATTGACCGGATTCAAATGTTTACATCCCTATTAGAAAACTGAAACGACGCATTTGTAGGTATTACGTTAGGGCAATCAAAAAGTAAGTTGCACCGAGTCATAAATCAAAAAGTACTAAAATGTTTTAAAAATAAATCATTTTATTAAAAAATGCTTATTTTAAACTAGTTTTCGACATAATCACCAATCGAGTTTTTACATTTTTCGTATCTCTGAACGACTTTGGCAATGTCTTGTTCGAAAAATTCCCGTCCAGTTTATGAACACCAGTCGCTAACGGCATCTTTTACTTCTTCATCTGAGTGGTATCCCTCGTTCGCTTGTAATTATTTTCCATGGTTCCAAACACATGAAAATCACAGGGCGATAAATCAGTACTGCAGTGGAGGGTGTTCCCAAACTTTCCACTTGAATTTTCGGAGAAGTCCCTTCGCAACGTTTGCCGAGTGTGTAATAGTTTTGTCGCGGCGAAGCGCAATTATTCCTTTTGACAGTTTCCGGCTGGTCGTCGGTCCCTTATCGCCTTTCTCAGTTTCCTGCGAGGATTTCGCCGTACACGTTCACGCGCCTCACCGTGAATGTGTACTGGTTTAAAATTTAAAAAATCGGATCGCTACGCAAATTTAAATTTTGGACGACGTGACTGCATACGAGTAGTAGCCGTCATGATGGTTATAACTAACAAGACCGATAGGGTTTTCGACCACGTTCGATTTCACTGTCAGTACTTTGATAGAACTACACAAACAGCGGTGTTGCCGCCAAACGTCATCGAAACACACGCGCTCGGGAAAAATATACGGCCCGATGCGACTCACCTTTGTTCGTCGTAGGCATTAATAATAATACGGTATTATAGCGGCTGCGCACGCGGGAAAACGTCGTCGGGAAAAGGGACGACGGATGCCTTTTCGGTTTTCGCGGTCGAAAAACGGTCGACGACCATAATAATACCTATATAAACGCGTATCGGCGTACTTTACAATACGCGGTGTGCACGTAGTACATAGTGCGCGTTGTGTGTATAAATATATACAGGCTGTCCCACGAAGATACACCCTTCGGAGATCTCCGGAGATAACAAAGATAATCAAATTCTGTTTTTGTTTTTTTTTTGTATTACTCACAGGGAAGAGGACTACAAAATATTTATATTTAAATTGTTATTATTATTACTTTTTTTTTTTTTTTATCTAGGGAATAATCTAACCGTGTTACGCTGTAACATCGGTTTTCACACGGATCAGTGGAAAAAAAACAGAATTTGATTATCTTTAATATCTCCGGAGATATTCAAGGGGTATATTTTCGTGGGACAGCCTGTATGTATTATTATTATTATGTAAATTTAACGTTATTATAATATTATATAGATACGTATACAAAACATATATCCGTATGTAATGTAATTTCGCGTAGTGCGCGGTGATTTTCCTATCGCGTCAGTTTTTCTACTCTTCTTCGGGTTTCTCTCGTATAATAATATCGTATTGTGTGCGCACGTTATACCTTTGCACGCGGTGGCGAAAGCGTCAATTACACGAGAGGGGAGGGATAGGACACAGAAAAAAAAAAAAAAAAAACACCCCGTCCTGGATATAAAGTGTCGTCGTTTTTCAACAACGTACGCCGTCGTCGTCAGTAAGTACCCGGTGACGTTTTAACGAAAATGGCGGATCGCACGGTCGTATTATATTATAGGTATACCCGCCGTATACATACATATATATAGGTGTGTTTATACGTCCCGCACGATAATAAGTGTGTATATTTTTCCATTTACAGTGGTTTTTCGTCACGCCGCCGCGCCTTTAAGCTTAAAGGTTTTTTTTTTTTTTTTTTTTTTTAGGATTTTTTCCCCTGCTCCCCGTTTCCCAATTAAATTATAGAATCCGCTCGACACGACCGCGTCGGCTATACCGGTTTAATCTAATATTATTATACCGCACGTGTCGTCCGCGCAACACCCGACACAATAATATATACGAACGTATAATATTATTTTCGCGAAACGGGCGTGCGATGTGCGTGGCTGCGTCGACGACGTAGAGGGACAGGGACTTGGGGAACTTGTCCCCTTTAGCAACGGATCCGGACGTTTTTCAAAGGGAGACACGTCGTTTATATTTTCAGTAAATTAACTATAAATTAGATTGTAGTGAATTAATGTAAAATATATCAATAAACTCTAGTCCAATGACAGGGGAGCATGTGTTCTCGTGCCCCCCCTGGACCCGCTACTGTATCCCACTGTATCCCACTGTATCTAGTGAATATTATTCCCCACTCCGTAGAATCGCTAGTCATCTAAATTCAAAAACCGTTTTACATCTATAGATAGTATAATCGTTTTAAGTACAAATAATATATTTATCGCTATACCGTCGTTTCATGTGCAGCATCCCGAGAACATATACAAAATGCGTTAATTGCTATACTTCTCCTTCCATGAATTCGACTATCCTATTCCTATGGCCAGTGACGGAGGTTACTGCACATACATTCGGAGCCCTGAGGCGGTAGCATTAAGCTTTGAAACTTCATTTATATCTGTTATTTATTTAAAACGCGATGTGTACACAAAGTAATCGATTATCTGCAGTAAGACGCGCAGAATATAATAACCTCGGAAAGTACCAATATAGATATTATTTTAGAACTGTTAGGGATTTCGAATTTAAGGGTATCGTAACTGTTCAGAACATACATGCGTCTAAGATTGTTCAAAAAGAAAATTCAATCGTTTGTATCTATATTATCACTATATTTTAATATTTACAACCGGATAAAAACGATTAATTATAATTTTCGGTACGGTTAAAAATGTGAAGGACGGGATAAAAATAAAAGTAGTACACTTGAAGATTTATTCAAAGCTTATCTATAAATTTTAAAAGTTAAAAGTTCCATTTGTTGATAAATTTTAACACAACTAGGTTGATAAAAAAAAAAAAAAAAAAGTGCTAGAAAATAACATAGTTGTTTATTTTAATAAATAATCTTAACTAAACTTAGTTATATTGTTAAAATTTTAATTATTCTTAAAAAGCTATTTTTGAATTTTTCGTAAAAAAAAAACCGTGTATCTAAGTTTTTACTTTTGTTTTTCGACGAAAAATCGACTATATACTTGGTTATCAGTATCACATTATTTGTCGGGCATGCAGGGATATGGGATACCCAAACGAGTGTCTCTATTGAAGTCAAAATATTCAAGCACAAAATACGTTTGTAAAGGTTATTTTAAAATCAACTTTTACTTAAATATTTTTTTATTTTTTTAGAATAAGTTTACTAGGAAAACTACTTTACGCAATGGTTAACTTGCCCAGCTTTGATTTTCATATATATATATATAAGTATAAAAAGCCTGTTACAAGAGATATGTACACATTATTGTATAGTTTATTTCAACTACAAGGGAATGATATTATTTTAAAATGTTAAAATCATTTAAAAATCATAGATCTGTGTTCTGGTTTAGATATTTCCAAACACGATATCACATACTATACATGATTATACTTGGTAGATAGTGGGAGTTGAACCGTGATTTTTACAAGACGAATATTATACAATTGTATAGTAAAACTTCGATTATCCGTTACTCTTTTATCCGTCAACTTCCGTTATACGTCACCTATCGTCGTAATAGTATCGTGACAATGAAATAATAATAATAATCAAAATAGAATATCGGAAGTCCGTATTATGAGTATACACGCAATGATTTTTAAATATAGAAAAGTTATATCGTGCAACATACGAGAAGAAAAATGAAGTTGATTTGTCAATTTTAATGTTTTTAAGAAAAATAAAAAACTTTTCTATGAAAAAATCTCATGACTCGTATGAACGAACAAAAATTACAGATTTTTTCAAATTATTTTATTTTAGATTTCGAGCGTAGCGGGGTAGCTATTGATTTTACCAAGATGTTTATTTCCTCTTTTACTTCTTCTTTGTTCTTTGTTCTAGTGCGTGGACACGTTTTTTCCTAGTAAACTTATTCTGAGTTTTACGTTTAGCATCTTTTCTTAAAGCACAATTTGTCTAGATTGTGCTTTGAAGAGGTCATTTTTTTTTTATTTTTGACGCCATTTTTTAAATAAAAGCACCTTTGTGGAAAAAAAAACGTAGGAAAACATAAAATTGTATGATTTCATTATTTTATAAAAACACAGATTGCGTTATTAACATTATTCAGTATTATACGTACGATTGTCTGATACGAAAAAATATTACTTACAAAAAAAAAAATTACAATAACATTGATACAAATAATTACTTACAGCTTCACAATTGTTTTTTTTTTTTTTTTTGAAATTGTCGTAAGCCCGGACTAAGGAAGGTAAATGGAAGGCCATGGTCCCTGGGCCACCAGACTCCCAGGGCCTAGATTTTTTCACAGCATATTCTTTATGTATGCATTTAACCATTAACTTTGATATTTTAATTTTTTTTTTTTTGTTTCCTGATAATGACTTCTTCGTATTATTATAAATTATAATATGGTAGAAACTACTAGTCACTTTGTTAAAACATTATGTATTCATTTATTTATATAATACTTGTGGCTTTTGAACGAAAATCTTCATAATATCTATACTGTTAATTATTTTCCTTTTGTTAAAACATACTGGTTGTGAACATTATTAAAAAATGTATTTTATTATTCTTTCAGCGAGGCTCTAGTCGAAAAGTTTGGCTCTGGGGCCTCTAGTATTCATCCGGGCATGAATAGTGGTCTAGCCGTCAAGATTCTCATCATAGTATTAGGATTTTTTTTTTTAATATTTGGAACGAGCGAATTTGTAAAACAACGGAATTTACATGTTTAGTATCATTTATAATAATAATTATTATCTATTTATTTGAAACACAAGTTTAACACAAACAAATATCATTTTTCTATAAAAATGTACGTCATAATAATTAGTAGAGGTGGGCGATTCAATAACTTCACTACTCAAGGTATTATTGATTATCGAAATCTAGAACATTTTCAATATCGATTTCGATTTTTATTATGTATTATTTTAAAATGATAACGCGGTAACGTGATAACCGCGTCGTGGGTAAACAGATAAGATTGGATAAATTTGTTTTTTTTAAATTCTAAAAAGTGCAGTTTTATGTTTATAGTTTATGATTGTATAATAATATTGTGTATTTTAATGTACGCATAGTGTATCAAATTATACATTTTTGGTACCGTCTATCTAATAAATATTGATTAAATATAAATAAAAAGTGTACATGCTTTAGATGAAATTTCAATGCGTGAAAAACGAAATGTCTGCGTTACATAAATTAAAATATAAATACTAACAATCAAATAAATTATTCAAAGATGACAATAATATTAACGTTCAATTATAAAAAATAATAAAACACGTTTTCAGTGCTACCAATAGGAAAAGTTTCATTAGAATATAGGCGACGTCTCGGTGATTTCAAATAATTATTATTGTACCTACGTCGTAGGTTTCCTGTCTCTTTGTTTGCGTTTCAATGGGAAATTTCAGGGGCTTGAAGTTTATTGTGCAATCGTAAAAAGCGACTTGACAATAGGTAGTGCAATGTTGTCCAACAACTCGCGTATACTAATCAATATTATAATAATAATTTTGTATTCAAATTTTCCGTATAAGTGAAGCAAAATGATTGTTATCTCGTGAGAGTGACTTGTACTCGTAATAACACAATTATATTCGCAGTGGTAGATTTGAAGGGAGGGGGATTCAAAGCAATTTTTTTTCAAAGTTGTAGAGTACAACTTTTAATTAACAAAATTAAAATATGTTATGATGTTTTTCATAAAGATCTCGATATCATCCGTTTGTGTGAGTAAATAATTATTTATAAAACCTTTAAAAAACTACTCCTGTTCCTGGAAAAATAAAATCTTAAATCTGCCACAAGGATCGTAAAAAAAAAAAAAATTGTTGGTTTCAATTTTTTTTTTTTTTTTTTTTTTAATTATACCCAAGGTTTTAAGTATATATATATATATTTTAAAAACATTATTTTTTGTAAATACTTAAATACTAATTATGTATAAATAAAATTATATCAAAATTGTAAGTTAATATTAAAAAAAAAAACAACTGAATAAACCGTTCCTTCATTTTCCATCCAAAAGTAATAGGAGCTGTTTATTTCCATACACATATTAAAAACTAATAGAAACTATTTTTAATAGTTTCACTCTTCAAAATACATTAGTTATATTCTAATTAAATTTTTGAACCTTGTAACTGAGTGTTTCAAACACTTCACAACCATGTCTGCTATTTTGTACAAAATAATTACAAACATAAAAACCAAGTGCATCGTGAGACACCGGGCAGGAGATAAACTTCAAGTATCATCCCTGAAAGTTAATTTGCGTGGAATTTGGTAGGTATCTAAAATCATTGAGTTTAAAAAAATTATCTATATTGATCTATATTTTATGGACGTTAAGTGAAAGGTTAATATGATAATATCAAAACTGATGATAATCTGAATGATTTGTACATAATTTCATTGAAACACCGTATTAAAATTATAATTTTAATAAAAAACACAAATTTAATATCACATAAAATTGAACACCAAATCAATTTCAATAATGCCACGTGAACCCGTGGCCAAAATGTTTGAAAATTGAACACGAGGTTCATCATAAAACGTATTTTAATGTTAACATGCGTAATGGTTAGTTTTTTTTTTTTTTTTATATATGCCTTTAAGTTCAAATTTCGACGAAAACCGCTCAGAATCTTATTTCGTTAGAAACGATTTACCGCGTGGAATAAATATATATATATATATGTGTATAAAACTATATATCTACGTATCCTACCTACCACCTTTCCCGACTTACCATGCTACAGCAGGGAAGCACTCGTGAGAAGCACCGGCTCTTTGTTTGCGGTATCGTGTCTGCGAAATTAATTTTCCCCGGACGGGGCCAATGTTAACGTCTGTAAATATAATTTTGTTTATTTTCAATTGCCGCATGCTCGAAATGGGGAAACGCTAATCATTTTGCGTTTCACATTGTTATAATATTATGATTCCTTAATGTTCGTGAAATATGCGCGAATAAAATCAGTTTTGCTCAACTCGCTCCCAATTATAATGAAATATAATAATTAGTTTGCGAAACTTTAAACTCGCCGTAAAATACAATGCGTTTTATAACATGTTAACGTTGTAAACGCGTAACTCTCACTGCAATTTAGTTTTAACGTGGCACATTAAATCTGTAGGTGTACTATATATTATATACTCGAACGAGGATTCACCATCAAAACGCCGAACAACTTTATAGTAACTTTTCGGAAATAATTTGATGGTTTCAGGGGTAGTCACTTTTTGATCATATTACACAATAGTGGGCGGGTATGTAGTGTACAGACAACGTTCAGAACATAAAACGTATATACGTACTTATAATTGAATTACGGCGTTAAAACAAGTTAAAACAAACAATATTACACGGCGTTTTAATAGGCACGTTACTCCGGCACCCGTACGTTAAAAATCATACACGCATTTCCACCCTGTAGTAATATTCGCTTATTTACTGTGTTCAATACAGAGTGCCATCCTACGGCGTTATCCTTATATTTATAATAACTAAGTCAATATTCATTTTTTTTTTTCTGTTCAATCGGGTTTTGTGCGAGGGGAACACCTACGCAGAGAAAAATTAAATTTTTATTTTAATCCCTTGATTATTGACAAAAAACAAAAAAAAAGTATAATTTTTTTTTTTTTGTTATTACTTTAGGCTGTGTTAGGTTATCATATTATATATTTTATCACGAAAACAGACATTTCGTAAAAAATATTATTATAAATATCTTAACGTAACATACATTCTTATCCGATCAATAGTTTCTTAGTAAAAGCCGTTTGAATTTCTAGAAAATTTGGGTGAAAACAGTTAATTTTCAATAGAATAATACCGTACGGGACAAGGAATCACAATCAACACGGCAATTCCTTATCTTCTATTGAATATTAATTGTTTTCACACCTATTTTCTATACAAAGGTATAAATAAGATCACTACTAATTAAGGTATAAATAAGAAACTAATCAAACATGAAATGAATGATGCATTCAAATTTCCAGAATAATATATTTTACAAAACGGTTATTTTGAAAATTGTAAAACGTGGAAAAATAAAAAGTTATAATAGCAAAATAATTTGATATCAAAAACCAGAAATAAAATAAAATAAACTGTTATGTTGATGGCAGAGAGAGAGAATGGGAGTTGCAATGATATTTGATATTATCTGGAAAGGAATAACAAAGTGGAAAAAAGAAAATACTTCGTTAAAGAATTAAAAAAAGATTAGTTAAAGAAAGAAAATTAAATTTGTCTCCGATGTACCAAGTGTAGCCACTTTTCTAAAAGGAAATTTTATCTTGTTGGTACTTTTAGAATGTCGTTTTTAGATTTTTCAAGCGGTTTTCATAATAATTGCGAAAAATCAGGAAAAAACGTAATAAAAATGTAGGGATAAACGAACAAGTATTTACGAAGTAACGGCTTTACGATTTTCCACTTTTATAACCTGTGTTTTCCACCAGAAATATTGCTTTAATAGAAAATCGACAAGTGACCTTGTTCGTTGACTTTTGAATTTAACTGATCTCGAAGAAAGTCGTTTTTATGATGGTTTTTGAGCTATTTACAGACATTTTTATTTTGTGAGGTTCTTACGTAATTTTTATTCGGTAGGTACTCGGTGGATAATATTGTTTGACCGAATAGCAATACTTGAAAATTCAACAGGAGGTCCATAATAAGTTGTACTTTGTGGTTAAAAAAGAAAGTGAGTTCAATATATATATAATTATTTTTTTTTTTTTTAATAAGAACTTCAATATCTAATTTTGACGAAAACCGTAAATATTACAACCTTTCAAAACAATATGTTTAACCGAACTTCGGCTCCGAATCATTTTTCGTCAGCAATGGTTTATCGTTGCTTACGAATATAAATTAAATAACTTGATGTATCCTGTCTTCTCAACTTTCCAACTATAATAATGCACGCCTGTCCCCGGCGTCAGTACTTGTTATAAATTACGTGCGAATAATAAAAGCGTTCGTCTGTATTCTAATTCGTATCCGTCGATAAATAATACGTAATAACCGTTACTGACCGACAAAAGACAAAACTATAAAATATTGTTATTGAAATATTAAAACATTCACTAATATAACAATATTTAGAAAACATTTGTGTACATGTCGTATATCCGGATATTATTTTCCGTTGACTCTTTGTCAATTGTAAATTAATTTACTACAGCTCTGCTTACCTATCCAGTAGAAGCTGAAAAGTTTTCAGAGAACTTTTACCCGATGTATCTGATAATAAACAGATATACATCGATCCCTTGATTGTATTATTATACGACACAATAACTTCTGCTTTAGACGCCCAGTAAAGTGAAGGAGATAGTGATTTTACAATTTTTACAATAAGTGTTTCGGCCACCCTTATTCTCTATTGTACACGTTATCGCAGCACCTACGAGATTAAATTGAATTTTTAGAGTTTTCGATGGTTGTACAGAACTGTATAAAATAAAGCACCGCGTGGTGTTAAAATGTGTGATTCCGAAAGTACGGATGCCAGAAAACACACTTGTCGTTACACCTAACAAACATTTATTACGCTATTGTATTATCATACTAGCTGTCCCTGTGCCAATTTTTGTTATTATTGTTTTACCGTTTTCATTTTTGGTTTTGACCGTGTCAGAATTGAATGAAAACAATTAGGTGGAAATTGGATAGACCGCCGATGGCGGGCCAAATGTGTTCTATTATGAAATTAAATAATAGTAAAAGTAATACAATTTTATAATAATTATAATAGTTTTATTTTCAGTAACACCAATGTAACCCTTAAATATGAAAAAATAAATAAATAAGCAATTCGATATTCATACTAAATACGCCTATAAACTAAAAAAAAAACCTCTATTTTACCCCCTTAGGTGTTGAATTTTCAAAAATCCTTTCTTGGCGGATGCCTATGTCGTAATAGCTATCTAATAGCGATCCGTCCAGTGGTTTGGGCTAGGTGATGATAAATCAGTCAATCAGTCAAGACATGTATTTTTTTACATATATAGATCAGTTTTGACCGGTGTAGCCTCGGGAATCGACCACCATAATGCTAGAAATAGGTTGGAATTTCACTAAAAAAATTACCCCGCCTTCGTAAACAATTAAGAGGTATAAAATCGGGTAAAAGGAAATTTTACTCCCTTTACCGGTCAATTATCAAAAATATTTGTTAAAAATCACTGGCACAACATAATGCGATTGTAAACTGTGAGCGAAACCAATATTATATTTTTAGACAGAAATGTTCATTTTTTTAGATGATTTTTGTCTAATCAGTATAATGTATAGGCATCAGTCTCTTAATATTCAATATTCACGAAGTTCGAATTGTAACGTGAAAAGTGTTTGCATAATTTTGAATTTTTTAAATTCCATAAAACTGATCGTTTTCAAAGTTCGGGTGAGGGAATGTGACTGGTGTACAATAAAAATAATAAGCGAAACGTTTAAATAAACTTTGAGTTAAACCAGTAGGTGTAGTATACGCTGACATACCGTAATAATTTTTTGTAATTCTATCGCTATAATGTCGTATAACGACACGTCTTAAGGTAATTGACAAAATATTATGGAAATATTGTGTACGTTATATTATTCACGGTTCCTACATGCCGTTCATCAATTGCATATATTTGGTTAATAATTTTCGGAAAATTGTGATGAATGTATACAAATAATTATTTCACTTATTGCGAGATCGTACGGTGTCTCTGCGCTGCTTGTAGAAAATCGCCTCGAGTTGTCCGTCGTAAACATAAACTTGTATATTTCATATAAAAATATATTGAAACAAAACGGGTCGAAATTTGCATTATACTTACCTTTTTAAACGCAGTTTACATAATTGTGTTATTTTGTTTCCCATGCCTGCACTTTGGGCGCAGTTTACGATCGCCGGTTTTGATTAAATTCCCAAGTCTCCGGCTACAAAACACACCCGTACGTATTATATATTAATGTGCATTATCCGTTTTTTCGATAAGTCGGGTTTACTCGCTGTCGTAAAATGCGAATATTTACATAAAAAATAATAAAAAGATAAAAAAAAAAAAACCCTTATTGAATTAATATTAATTCAAATTCAAATATTGTCTAATAACCCGAATGCAGTAGAATATTCAAATAATAATTTTTATGTGAAAATACGCCTGGAAAAAGTTTTACCGTTTATTATATTAAATTATTTATGCGATTTTACTGCACCGATGCGTATGTTATTAAAGTATGTATTAAAACCAATGGTTATGCGCTTATATAGATATTATATTTTGAACTGTCGTTGGCCTGGAGTAACAGCACTACCTAAATGCAGAGGCGTGGCTAGAAATATTTTTCTGGCCAGATAAAATAATATACATGTTTGCGTGGGGAAAGACGACTAACACAAAATGTTTGGTTTTAAAAATGTGTTAACTGAAAAGCGGATATGCCCGGTACGCCCGGGCCTGCTCGCTGGCTACGCCACTGCTTAAAAAGAGGATTGTCGACGGTGTATATTTTACTCGATTCAGACCTAAAAGCCAAACCAAACTGTAAGAATTGCGTTTAACGGATTTCAGTTTTGAAAACGGATAATAATATTGGTCTTTAGGTCCGTCACTGGGACGTGTCGGAAGTGGAAATTGCATTTCTTTATTTTAAACCGTTAACAAATTTGATAGTATTTTTCGAAAAATTTCGAACGATTTACATAGAGTGTTTTGCCATTTACGCGATACGAAAGTAATTCCAACGTATCCTAATTTAAGGGCCTAACGGATCCGTATACGTTTTCAAAATTGAAATCCGCCAAACGCAATTCCTAACAGTTTTCTACGGATTTTCGAGCCAAAACGTCATACTCGTCCGTGGCCCATCCCCTCGAATAGGTATCGGCCAGTAGACCGCTATAGCGGACAAGTCTAATCGGCCTAGGGGCGGTCGTCGAACCGTACGAACAAACGGTGAAATTTTAACAAATTAGAGGGAATTCGGAAAACCGTCGCCGACATTGTTAATTCCGTTTTGTGTCTTCAACGCGCATAACGAATACACGCGACGCGGGGACAAAAACGGCGGAACCGTTAACCGCGAAATTATTGCATTATTTGCGGCGTACCTGCGCGTTTTACTGTGTCGACATTGTTTCGAAATTTTCAATTGTAATAACGTTAAACGTACCCGTGCCCATGATAGCATTTAAACAGTTACCGCGCGGTCGCCGCAGTAACCGTATTATCAGTGCGATTTCTATACACTTTGCACAATGCATTTGCGACGAACTAACCGTGCACGGTGATATACGCCGTAGGTACACATTTTAGTTGCAATATGCGCCTCGCACAAAACGTTAATAATTGTGTTATGTACGGTCCGTCGACGGAGTTTTATCTGATCGAAAATTAATCAATAATTATTACGGATTTATTGTCTCGTTAAACAATCGTTCGTTAGTAGGATTTAATATTGTATAATACAATGGGCGCGACATTTTTCTCGGGACGGCACCACTATGAATTATTACTGTGGCGCAATTATAAACTAAAATCGTGTATACGGCCGTAATATATTATAAAAAAAAAAAAAAATGTTTGCGAATTTCAAAAAGAAGAAGAAAAAAAGTGCCGAACGGTAGAACTCGTGGCGGTACCTATTGTGTTTAAGTTTTGAGCGTTTTCCCCGCATTAAGTCGAATAAAAACTAAAAAAAAAAAAAAATCGCTAGAAAAATTGGCGAAAAAAAAACATTTTTTTTATCAAGTCTGTCGTGGGCTGGTATAAGTGTTCGGTAAAATTCTCAGATCTGCACGATTATTTTTATTTGAATTAAACAGAACAGAGAAAGAAAAAACGACAAAATCGAAAATAACGGATACCGTAATTATGTTCACGATTTTTCGAAGTCTTTTCCCAATTATTGAGAAAACGACGAGGGTAATCCAAAAAAAACGCGTACCAAAAGTATAATAGCTGTTTCACATTCTGAGCGGAGTGCAGAAACTTATGGTTTTACAATTATGTTTTTATCATTATTATCATTAATTTTTATCTGTGACAACTTTTCTACCAGAAATCTTGCTCATATTTACAATAACAGTACTTTTTCTGAAAGGAAATTTGACTGGGAAGGTACTTTAGGGAAGTTATATTTCTATTTTATCAAGAGTTTTCCCAGCGAATGAAAAACCGGGAAAAAACACGGGAAATCCAGTAAAAGCGTAGGATAAACGAAAAAATTGAAACAACATTAAACAAACATTATTAAAGAAAATATATAATGCCTACATGTTTAAATATTTTACCATAGTATGACATGCATATTGTTGACAAAGCATCACTATCGACTGAACTCCGCTCAGAATGTTCTTTTCGTTAGCAATGGTTTATCGTCGATCGCATATATACAAATCGAATTCCCTTCTTTACCCAATCATCCCGATTTTCCACCTGCAATAGTGGTTGCGCCCAAGTGTGAAGTATGTCCATCATTTTTGTTACAATTAGTATGTGTATTAAACTCGGTGATGTGTATTGTAAAATTATTCTCTATCCCAGGAGATTCAAAATAAACGGATTCGGAATTAGTGTACCTATATACACGCTTATAGCGTTAAACGTATTATTATTATTATTATTGTTATTTATATACGTTCGTTTATAAAATGTACCGTATTGCAGCCGAAAGAGACTTTTAGAGTGCCTGTAACGGCAATAAAAGCCCTGTAACTCTGTATCGCGAGTACCGATCTAAATACACAATATTAATTTATACCGAGAGTCGAGACCTGCCTACGTATGCGTGTACATTGTTATTATTCGTCAGACAATTGAATTCGGGCGGGGTACTTAACCTAAAAAGATCAATCGAATTTCCATCTACTCTACGAGGTTGGCGTTAACGAACATAAAATAATTCAACCGAGAACCCTGTATACATATTATATCGTATATACCAAGGTATACATATACATTGGATCTCGACGAGAAAGAGACAAGCACGCCGGGTAATTGCGTTGTTTTTAAAATTGATTACAGAGTTCAAACGAAATTCGAATTGATATTATTATGAGGAATATAATCTTGTGTTCGTAATAAATACTGTGTAAAGGTACGCGAGGAAAAGATAAACGTAGACATGTGATACACCTACGCGATTGCACGACATAAACACGGTGAACCCCGTTTTCCGCACGGTGCTGCCGACATAAATCACGATATTAGTCTGTCTAGGGGGTGAAACGGAAGCTGATTTCGGGCGAGAACGTCCCATTTACGAAACGCATTGTTTTCAAACCGTTAACCGAGTCAACAACATTCGTACAACCGAACGCCGCTCAGAATCATTTTTCGTCATCGACGATCAATCGTCGCGTACGGATGTACATTAAATATTACGCCTTCCTTTTTACCATCCAAACGTCTCGCCCGCAATAGTGGACCACTCGGTGACGGATTCGAGGTGGCGTCGACGGGGCCCGGGCTCCCATTGTACCTGTATCGGTGGTCGTAACAATATCGGTTAATAATTAATCTCAAACAAACCGCCGTTCGAATCGCAATCGGACCAATTACTACGATAGTCGATAATTTTGTAACCTCGTCCGTATTTCATATTGAATGTTCATTGTTCAAAGTCGGTATTGAAAATGTTGGGCTCCCCCGTCCACAAAAAAAAAAAAAAAAAATCCTATATCCGCCGCTGGGTTCACCCGTCGTGCGGGTTGTGTTCGTAATTTTTTTTTTTTTCTTCTTCTTAAAATGCTAATTTATACCGGATGTCATGCAAACACATTTCGTGCGTTCGGAGCAAAACGCACGGACGCTGCTACGGGTTTTACAGCGACGCGTGTTGCATTCTCGAAAACACTTTTCAGAACACAGGCGGGCACTCCGAAAGTTTCGCGCTTTCTCTCTCGGTTGAAAAGGGGACGTAGAATATATCGGACGGGTCGCTGTATTTTTTTTTATACGTACCTATACATACGGACGCAGTGGCACTGACAAAACCACAGTGACAATGCGAGAAATTACTGTCCCGCGTAGACCCTTTTCCGTGTACGAATTTAATACAATAATAAACGACGAGTCTTGCGAAATGTTTTAGACGAGCATTGCAAATAAAACGCAATATTTCCTTTTGCTAAAAAAACAATAAACCTTCGCGGGGTTTTTTTTTTTTTTATAAATACCTAATATTTCCGAAATTCAAATTTCGAAAATATATAAAAATACAAATACCTATTGGTACTTATTTACTGCGGGGTACACTGCAGTTGTACCTACTGTAGGCAGCGCCGAATTTCGTAAACGGCCGAGGAAAAAAAAGACTTAAACAAAAAGATTTCCTAAAATAATGGGGACGGGTGCAGCTACAGTTGCAGATGGAAAGTTGGGAAGGTAGGATACAAAAGGAAATTTAATGTGTACCTGTGAGCAACGATAAACCATTGCTAACGAAAAACGATTCTGAACGCAGTTCAGTTGGTGGTGATGCTTTGTAATCAATATATATATATATATGTCATGTTACGGTGTAATAATTAAATAGGCATTTTATATTTTCTTCAATAATATTTGTTAAATATTTTACTGATTTTTCCCGGTTTTTCACATTTGCTGGAAAACTCTCGGCAAAACCAAAAAAAATGACATCCCTAAAGTACCCTCCCCGTCAGATTTCCTTTCAGAAAAAAAATGCTATCATTGTAAATCGGAGCAAAATTTCTCGTAGAAAATTTGTCCGCAAAAAAAATAAACATCTTTGTAAAACCAATACATTCTACGGTACGCTCAGAATCTAAAAGCCTTATAAATTATTTTTCAGCAATCGAAAATTCAGAGTTTCTTCAAAAAGATACGAACCTTATGTGTAAGATAATAACGAATTGATATTTCCCGACAAAACATTACATTATTATTAATGTTAACGGACAATAAAGAATAAATATTTAAGAGCAAAAACGTTTGTAGTAAGACAATACAATTAAAAGAGGACTCGCCAGTCGCATGTGCTGTCTCTTACAAACGTACGACATGGCCGATTTGCCGTCAGCAGTTTTTACCGTTAATTTCAATATTAGGTCGAATCTGCCCGTCATCTGACTTAGATGAAATAAAAAAAAAAAAAAAAACAAAACAAAACATTATTCGTTCAACGTTCGTGCTATTTTTTTTTTCCTTCGATACTTGAGTTTCAAAGCGACATAACAGATAGGTGTTGTAGAACTGCGATAATTCGCATACTCGAATATCCCCGTTCGAAATTAAAATACATCCAAAAAAACACCGGAGACGTTGCGCGCACACTATATTATTGTATTCGAATTCGATAACCGATCGATTCACTCTTATATCATAAAACTAACAACGCGAAATCGATTTTTGCCGAAAGCGAATTCGCCGAGTGGTGCGTTCGAAAGGCGGACAGCAAAAAAAAAAAAAAAAATACGAGTTTACAACGCTCTCCTAAAAACAAACAAAAAAAAAACAAAGTTCGAAATTTAACACCGAGTATATTTTGATTAAAATTTGGTAAAAGAAAAGTCTTTTCACGTTTCAAATCATAACTGAGATTATTATTTTTTTCATTCGTTCTAATACATTAACGTGTACGTATATATATATATATAGAAATTTGTTTCTTGGACCGCAGAAGCTGACGGTACTGTTTTTCATTTTCATTTTCATTTTTTTTTTTTTTTTTTAGGGAATTGCGTGCCATAATATTTTCATTTTCGTTGTATTTGAAAACGGTAAAATCGACAAATAAAAAAAAAAAAAACTCTCGTACGGCAGCATCACGCTATATTATATTATATATTTTTCATTTCGGAGAAAACATTATCCGACATTTTTTAATTTTTTTTTTTTTAATTATTTTCACGAAAGAACAACGTTTCGTCTAAATATAACGTTTTACGACGCAGGTGGGTTAGTCGATGACGATGATGATGACAATAATAATAATATCGCGTTCCGGTTCAGTTGTATAATAACGTTACATAATATTGAGCGTGGCGTTTTGTTTGACGTCCGCGCAAAACTCACAACACGCATACGTGTACACGCCGAATACCCATTCCGCCCGCTCGTTAATAAATTTATATTTCGTTTTTCGTTCGGCAAGTAACGAAAGCGGTAACGCGCGCGTCACGCCCGCCGCCGCCGCCGCCGCCCCTTGTCGAAATGCCGTTTCTCGTAGTAAAATTATATCGAAACGATTTTACGGGGGGGGGGGGGGGGGGTTTTTTTTTTTTTTTTTTTGGGGGGGGGGGCGAATTTCGTAAACAGACACGGAGTGTTAGTTTAAATAGATTTCGGTGTTGAAATTGTCAGTTTCCGTCGACCTGTCCGTTTTTGAGTTGGCGTCGAGGAAAGAGCGGTGCGGCACATCGTTCGTGCCTGGGTTGCGGTGGGACCGATTTCAATTCTGGCCGGACAAAAACAGTAAAACCCATCGTCACCCAAATAGGCGGGCACCGTAAATTTATTTTGTTTTTAAGATTACGAAATTACTTATTATTTCTGTTCAACCGTTTTCCTTGAGTATCGATTTTTATTGAATTTGTATCGACTATATTATCGTTGTAATTAAAATGGAAATGCGTGTAGGGTTTTTCAATCATGCTGTTAAAAAAAAAACGTATTGTTCGTTTATTGCGTGTTATTTTACATCTTATTAAAAATAATTGAATTCGATATGACTACATTTCAAGTAAACACGTTTATTAAATAATAATCAAACAATATATTTGCTGAAAAATAAACAGATTTCTTTTCTTACTTTTTTTTTTTAATTAGACCGTAGAAAAATAGGAGCACAATATAGAAAATCTCAAAAATACACATTTACAATACGTCACTATAAAACATGTCACTTATATATTTTAAGAAAATTACTTTTGTCCGCCACGAATTGCCATGTACAGAGGTACTTGAAATTACGTATAAATTTATCGATTAGAGTATAACCATTACAAGATGGTATACAAGAGTACACGTATAAAGTTACTGACACAAAGATGGTGATAACGATGAAAGCCACTACGACGGGTGTGAAGACAAAGACGAAAACAACCCATGATTTTGTTAAGTTATTTAAAAATGTAAAATACACTACACAAGTGTATAAAATATAAAGTTATAACAGCAATAATAATAATAATAAAATACTCGAATTTCAATTAGTTGTTTTTTACACATTATAAGTGTCTAAATACTACTTGAAAAACATTTTTAAATGTTATTTACGTTTTAAAATGTTGGTTGAGATTTATATCTGTAAGCAACGATAAACCATTGTTTGACGAAAGGCCGTTCCGACGATACATAATTTGAAGTGCCGTAATTTGTTTTGCTATTTTCGTTTAAATTTGATTTCGAAACGTCTATTAAGAAAAAAACCATTCGTCCGATGATTTATGAAAATTTCACCACGTCTAGGTAAATCCAATACGAGTATATTTACCAAGTTTCAAGTCTCTGCGTGTATTTTTATAACCGAATTACAGCAAAAAAACTGCCGAAAATTAAAATTCCTTAAAAGTTCAAAAACGGCTCAGAAGTATTGGCGATGTTCCATTAAGAATGTAAATCAAAAGGGCAACAAAAAAGGTGTCTTGCGATTTTTCGATTAAATCATTATTTCCGATTGGAAACGCCGTTTTTATAAAATAATGAAATCGCGAAATTTTACGTTTTCCTACGTTTTTTTTCTTCCATAAAAGTGCTTTTATTTAAAAAATTAAAACAAATGACCTCGTCAAAGTACAATCTAGACAACTTGAGCTTTAAGAAAAGATGCTACACGTAAAAACCGGAATAAGTTTACTAGTAACAAACGTGACTACAGACTAGAACAAAGAACAAAAAAGAAGAAATAGAAGAAATAAACAGCATTGTAAAACCAATTGTAAAATACAATGTGCACAATTGTAAAATACAAACCATTGTACACCCCGCTACGCTAGAAATCTAAAAATGATGTTCGGCTAGAATTGAATTTTGTCCGATTGTGCGGCGTTTGAGCAGTGATCCGCTGTTTTCCGACCATCGGATCTTCAAAAGTGGAATATCCCGTCGAATTTATATTATATTTTTTTAATGCTTAATTAAGCATAGAGTACAAGACGTATTTTTTTTTTATTTTTTTTTTTCGAGTATATTCTTCACGAGTCTGCGACACGCGTTTACGTTTTTCGCGACAAATATCGAACAATGGCTGCAGCCGCGGCCTTTCGGGCGGCAAGAGATACTTTTAAGACGATCCGGTCAATATTATATACATAATATACGAGCGCGCGGGTATAATACGTCATTGACACACGGTCGTCCGGGTGACGGCGATGAAGGGCCGACGTTTGCGGGATTCTGACCGTATGTTGTAATAATAATGATAATAACACGTATAGGTGTATAGTACGCAGGTAGTCAGACAGAGCGCGGTGGCGGTCCGGCAGAACGGCAAATTCGAGCGTAATTGCCATAAAAATCGCCGCAGCCCGAAAAACGAAAAGACCGCGCCGTTTTTTTTTTTGCTTTATTGTAGTACTGCGCTCGTCGGTCGTCTCTTTCAGCTGCGTGGCCACCTGATGCCATAATATCGTCACAGAGTTTGTTACCGAGGCGGTATCAATATTTGATCAAATATTCGATTTAAACGGTTTTCGTCGTAACATCCGAACTAACGAGCTAAATAAAAACTTTTTATTAAAACGAAATAGTAATAATAACTACATTACGTTCAACTTTTTTTTAAACCTCGCCCAGGCGGAGATTCGATTGAATTTCAGAGAAGGAGGACTATTTTAGTGATCGACAGAATAAAAAAAAAAAAAATTTTCATTTGTATTATACCTTTATGCTCGTACGTTGTCACACATTAAAACGTAATAAGCCATAAAAGGTCGTACTAATTTCTGAGACAATATCATTTTTCAACAATAATTCATCTATTTTTTAATAACTTTAGAGAGGCTATGGATTTTGGGCTAAACGCTCTATCCCTCTTATCCATCGTCTATCGTAGAACCTCGAGTATAAAATCGTCAAGCATCGACCAGAACGATTTATCGTATCCGCATAAAACAAAATAAAAACTTCAACAAATCTATAAAACGTCATATTATGCTTACAAATAACTAAAACATTTCCAGAATTCAACGTGTCTAGACCATCAGTACTCAGCAAAAAATGTAGGTACCTACGATTATGTTTTACTGGATTACAATAATATCGAAAACAGTGAAACCATCATTTTCGTGAAATTTTCCGTCGGATTGGCTATTAAGAAAATTACTTGAAAATTCATAAAACGACCTTTCAATATATCAAATAGATAACATTTTTTTTGAGAAAAAATGCTACACTCGAAATTCAAAGAAATTTTTCTGGCGAAAGAGTCGTTTACAGGCAGAAAATAAAAACACTGCACATCACAGTATAACCGTTAACCGATATATTATAAACTGCGCTCGGAATCTTAAAATTCAAATAATTGTTATCCAAGAGTATACAATAAAAAAAGTCACCTGTATCTTTTTATAATTTTTTTTTTTCACTCTGAAACCGATGAAATGAAATGTCCAATTTTATATTATTATAATAGCATTTATCCATAGGCGTGATCTGGGTTAATTCTTGGGAGAAAGGGTAGGTTGTGGTAAAACTAAAAACATAAAAGTTGCAAAAAAAAAAAAATAATAAAAATAAGGGGGATTTACTCCTACCCATTTCTTTCAGTTGTATTCTCCTCAATTAATTATTCGTGAGAAATACTCGAGAATCAAATATTAAAAGTAAAACAAAAAGTATAAAAATACAAACAAGTCAAAAACTTACTGGTACTAATAAAAAAAGCGCACATAAAACTCCGTCATAAATGAATGAATAAATTATAATATACTACACAAATACGTTTTAATGATTTAAAAATGTTAACTTGTTCAACAGTTTTAATAGTTTTGTAATATAAAACGTTTTAATAATTTATTGTAATATTAAAAATAAACATTTTTGTAAAACCAATACGTTTTCGCTACACTAAGCTTCTAAAAATTGTGTATGTAGGTACATTATAATTTATTGAAATTTTAAAAATTCAATTGATTCGATTACATAGCCAGTAACAAACATGATTACCATGGTTGCGGATAGCTGTGGCACGGTGATAAGAAAAATATTGTGTCCATCAAACATCGTCGTAACCACGAATTAAGATATCTTTTACCGTGATCTTTGATAACGATTTACATTATCGACATTATGGAACGATATTATCGATTATTTATAATTATAAATGGAAAAAAAAAAAATAATATTGTTGACGCACTGTGCTTTTTTCGTTTTAATGTTGAAATTGATTTCACTGTAACTTGTATCGGGGGGGGGGGGGTCAAAAAATATTGCTGCCCCGTCAATGAAATATCTGGGGGTCAATTTTTCCCTCTTTCCCCTCCTAGATTACGTCTACGCAAGTATATATATTCTGTATACACCTACACCGTTTCACATTATTCTTATCATTATTATTATATAGCAGGGAGAATACCTAGATAAGATAATTCAGTTATACACACTATATAATGCATTCAACTGTAAATCATTGCAAACGAATAACGGTGCAATCGGAGTAATATTATAATATTAGTGTTTTTCCCTTGTCGCTGAGACATCCCAAAAATCAACAAAAATATTTAAAAAAAAAAAAAAAAAAATAACCAAGGGTTCGGGAAGGTTACGAATTTCGATAAAATATTCATCTTTTAAAGCATAGCGTAAAAAACTCAAACTGCTACTAATATTATTACTAACCGAAAAAGTGTTTTCTACTAAAAATCTAAAATGGTTTTGTGAGAAAATCAAACAGCCATATTTAACGATAAACTCTCTTTCTTTCTTTCTCTCTCTCTCTCTCTCTCTCTCTCTACCTCGCTAAGTGATTATTAAGTTTGATAGGTAACAGAAAACCGAGTGCATCCCGTTTTTAATTCTTACATTTTTCATAGCCCGAGTCCGTCCGCAGATTTATATCGACAGATTATTTTGAATTACCTGAGTGCGTCTGCAGTCGTATCGATGCAGCTGTAGGTAGATACCTGTGTATGGTATATGTATATACCTAATGGAAAACAGATAAACTTAATAATTGATAAACTGGTCGGTGGGGAAACAGAATTTTATTTTGACTTTGATAATAAAAAAAAACTAAGTAGGACTACGGGGCTAGTATAGTGTAGTGGCGTAGTAAACTATACAAGCTAGTAAACGAGTGCCGTAAATTTGTCTGTACCCCAGTACCGAAGTAATGCCGTAATATTTTAAAAATGTTCAAAAAATCTAATTAATTTAAGTACTCTAAAGACTATATTAAATGTGTTGTGTGAAAAATGTTGACAATTAAACGCCAGCCTTTATAGTGTAGTAAGTGTATAGATAAAATGTTTAAAATTTTTCCTATACGTTAAAAACAAAAAAAAAAATGTTTACATTACAGCAGGGCTCTGGGGCTGTAGCCTCCTATGAGTTTGATAAGAAGGAGTTCAGCCCTCTACGGTTCTCATATTGAAAAAATAAAAAAGAATCGAAATTTGTCATTCTCATATCCTCAAAATATTAATTTTATTTATAACAACAAATTAATTAAGAAAGATAAACGGGTTTTTTTTTTTTTTTTTTTTATTTTCGATATAAATAACAGAGAAAAAAATGTAGATTTCGGTAATTAACCGGGTTCTCGGTTAACTGGTGTCTGGTGTCCGGTGTTTTTAAATTTTGTCTTGTAGTTTCCCACGGTGCCAACACTATTAAAACGTTGTAATATACAAAACGACCGATAAACTATGTTTCAGTGATATTGTTTAACGAACGGTTTAAGGGAAATAAAAACGGCAAACATATGGTATACGGTTCAGGTAAAACTGTACACGTGTTTATAAGACAGTGAACCTCCCCCTACCCCCCCCCCTCCACCGTGTCATTTTGAAAACGCGGCGCCCCTGCGACCGACCCGAACGGATGTAAACCGCCAATAACAGGCGGTGAAATAAACCTGCGAATATTTTCGGGGCGAAAGCAATAAGATCGCCTCGTCGCGCGGATCGCCCCGGGCAACGATGAACGTGGCGGAGCTCGAAAATTCGATATTTATTTATATTTTTTTTTCTCTCTCTGTCTCTCTCGGAACGCGGCGCCCGGCCGATACTTCGTCCCGGGGGCGAATCCGGGGTATCGTTAAAAAAAGAAAAAAAAAAAAGGTCGTTTTTGGAAAACGCGATCGGGCGACCCCGACGGGAAAACCGGTCGGACGAAATTTCTCGTTTAAAAACGCGAAAGGAATGACCGCTGCGAGCGGAATACATCGCCGCTGTGCGCCCCGCCGACGCGTACGGGACGCACGCCCGCCGCGCGTGGCGACCGTAATCGTACGGAAAACCGAGCGTGCCGCGCCTGGTACGCGATAATAAACCGCGGCGCCGAACACGGTGTTTTTTTTTTTAAGAAATCGGACGGATAAAACGCCGCGCGGTCCACGGCCGCGGGCGCGTGTCGGGGCGAGAATCTCCCGGGCCCGGGAACACGCGCGGGTGCCGGCCCGCGAACGCGTCGAACGCCCGGATTTCAGTCGACCCTGTCACTTATTGAACGTAGCCGACGGCGACTACGCGTTTATTTTGTCGCGCGTTTTCGACGGATTTTACGCGGGCGCCGCGTGTCCCGTCGCCGTGTCCGCGGGCGCGGTGCAAACCGAAACCCCGTTCCGTTTCCGCCGTGCCCGGTCCTCCGCGTCACGAGCGCAGGCCCAAAAGGAGCGAACGGACTCGTGCGCGCGTCCCGGGGACGTTTCGAACGCGGAAACAATCGAAATCGAACAAAACGTCACCGACGGCGCGCGCCCGGCGGAGGAAAACGCTTCGGTTTTTTTTTTTTTCCCCCAAAAAAAAGGCCGTTCCGCAAGAGCCGCGGCGCCGGGAACGCTGCCGGGGACACCCGCGGCCGCGGCGGACCCGCCCGCCCGCCGCCGTCGCTCGCGAACAACGGACCGCCGCCGCCGCCGCCCGGTCCGCGCGCCCCGTGCGACGGGTTGACGCCGCGAGTCGTCGCGAAAAAAAAAAAAAATTAATTGCGCCGTCGGCCGGCGGTGCGGACGCGGCGCGCTCGCGTTCAAAATAATATATTCAAATGTTTACGTGAAAACAATAGGTGACGCGCGTGCACTTATGCTGGCGGGCGGGCGGGCGCCGCTAAACGCGCGCGACGGACGGCGGGAACTGCGAACGGGCGCCGGCGAACACTCCCGGGGTGTTATAATTAATTCCGAGAAAATTATTCAAAACTTCATCAAACTCATTATAAAACGGTCGCCGTAACGCGAGTATTAATTAGCGCGAAACAATTATCAACGGCGCGCCGGCTGAACGCGCGCGTCTTTGTCCGCGGCGCGCGGGCGTCGCGGAGAAATTCGAAAAATAAATTAGTTTCGAAACAAATTCGCGCGCGCGGGGTGTGGTCGGATGGGGTTGGGCGGCGGCGGTCGGCGGGACCGCGCAGAACTTTCGCCGCGCCCGTCGCCGCGGTACGCGTACCGTACAATGTCGCGCGGGCGTATCGTTTTACGGCGCGGACCGTAACCGCGGTCGCGCGACGATTCCGCGCCGGAGCGGTCAAACCGTGACACGGCGCCGTGAGCGGCGAGCAGCGGACCGTAACCTCTCTCCCCCCTCCCCCACCGCCCGACCGATTTCGCCCGAATGTCCACTGCGGTCGCGCGCGGTTCGGTTGTTCGAGCGCACGAAACAGTCGCGCACCTCTACCCTCCACCACCCCCCCCCCCCCC